ACAGCTTTTCCCTACTGATCCTCTCCCCCATGATATGGAAACTAATTTCAAGATGGCATCTTACCATCCCTCTGAATACTGGAGGAGATGATAGAAGCTGCCTCAAGTGGAAGATTCACAAATGTGTGCTACCCAGGAAGACTTTTAAAGATTTTAAAGTGACATCACTGCATGCATGTCCAGACAGGATGGACAAAATGGAGGAATCCAGCTGGAATTTCATAGAGACACAACACACAGTACACCCATATTGCTGGAAAGCTCCGTATCTCTCGTTTAACATGAGCACATCACTAGTGTGATGTTCATCCGTAAAGAGTTAACAAAAGAAATGGAAAAAGAAGAGAAAAAGAAAAACCCTTCAAAAATTTCTAAGACCCTTAAAAGGAAAAACAAAGTGAGAAAGGTAGACTTGCAATGACATAGTAGGCCTGTATGTAACCATTAGGCTGAAACATTAACATAATTAAATTATTAATTAGTTAGAAAAATGTAAGAAAACACAACACTTGATTTAGGTGCTGACAGAGTACAGCTGGTAGTATAGTGTAAAAGAAATTGTTTCAAAGCAAAAATAAGTCTCTTTGGCCAAAGCAATATCTTTATTTCATTCATATATACTGCAGGGGGACCTCACTGACAGTGAATTAATTTCCCATTGATTAAGTGAACTCAAAACACTAGATCTAAGAAGGCCTGTGTTAGTAACCTTTAGGCTGGGGCATTGACAAAAAAAAAAAAGGATGTGGTTTCTAAGCACCTTCTGCTCGGACCCCTAACATCAAAAATGAGTAAAACAGTGTGTGAAGACAGGCAGAGTAGGACTGTGCATGTAACCATTAGCCATTTATCAATAAATAAACAAAAAAAATAGATAAATAGATAAAAATAGATAAAACCCAAACATAAGCAATACTTGGTGCTTGAGCCACAGAGAAGTACCCATCTGGCTTTGTTCACCTGTGATCATTCTGCATTACCCTGAGCACTTAGCTAATGAAACTTTCCTCTCGTTCGTGCTGCAGATGACCTCACTGACGTTGCGTTATTTTCCCACTGACAACGTGAACAAACTCTCCTGACGCAAGAGCCCATTGCAACACTGAAGCGCTGCAGAGGAAGAGAGAAGAGAAGAGAGTGATGTAGTGGATGAAGCCGTGTGTTCCTCAGAGGATCTCTGTACGCCCACAGCACTGAGCAGACCACCTCTTCCACAACACACTGCAAATGTGAAACTCGTCAGCAAACGAGACTCTTTCCACTGTTCTGAAGAAGGTGCCCTTCATGAACATGTTGTTTAGACACTTTATTCCTTTTTTTCCACAGACCTACATAACATCAGCTTTCCACAACTGATTTAACTTCTGCGTCTCAACCGGTCATCAGTATCTGCTCTGTCTTCCAGTCTGAGTGAACCACTGCAGTGAAAAGAACAATGTTAGAGAAAATGTTGTTTTATGCATTTATAATCCTTATTTTAAAACTTTATTTTTTTTTACGTAACCAATGTGGAGATGAAGAAATTGATTGATTGCTTATTGACATTTTGAGTTCATTAGGTTTGACTGATTGAATGAATGATTAATTGATTGCACTACCCTTCTTCCTCTGTCAGTGTAGGTATGTGCACATTTTCAATTTGACTTGAAAAATAAATAAATACATACAATCTAATAAATAAACATACAGCAAAAATAATACCATTTTAGAGATATTCTGATAGTACATGACACAGATCAGATTAATTTATCTGATGTTTTCTAACAAGTTGGAACAGACTCCCCTGTTGTATGCAGCATTTCATGCTAGTCTATGCTGGTCTAGTGCTGGTCTAGTGCTGGTCTGGTGCTGGTTTAGCTGGTCACCCCAGCATGGTCATGCTGGTTGACCAGCATACCAGCATCCAAAACACAACATATGCTGGTTTTGGTGGTTATCAGTCATTTAAGTATATCATCCAATATATCGTCCAAAGAAAAACATGTAACTTCATTTTTGTCCGTTTTTGTTTTCCTACATCATGTGAACTTGACAGCTGTGAAAAATTCATGATAAAAGCTTCATGATGAATAGAAATGCTCCAAAATCACTTGGTATAAGATATGTTTACACTAACTTACATTAAAATTTAAGAACATTTTATCCTCCTCCTGTCAATTTACCATTTTGGAGATGTATGTTTTTCTTTGGACAGCGATGAGATGTAAAGTACAGCTATAGATGTGTCAAGTCTACAGAAAGCATAGCTTTAGATTGCTTTTAGGGTAAGGTTTAAGGTAAGATCTGGGACAGGGCCTGGAAATACTGGAGATACCTGTGATCGGTGTGCGAAATACTCCTTGGTATCTGGGGGGTCCCATGTTGGCGGGCTACTCCAGCGTTGACTAACTGCTAACTTACATACCTCAGTGGTGTTGGTGCTAACTTCTGTGGCACCAAAATGTTTGGGTAAGCAATTCTTCTTTTGGAAATGCTCCTTTCTGGTTATGTAATGCGCTCTTCCTCATATTAATTCAATTCCTCTGGTGTCTTTGGTTTGAGAAATGAGTATTACAGTAAAGCTTTTCAGAGGTATTCCGAGCATAGTTACAGATGCTAGGCTATGAAGGACCAACAGAGTGAACTAATTTGCTACAGCTCTAACCTGAGGCAGAGCAGTTCTGCACAGTTAGTTAAGAATATTAAAGACAGGAGTTCATCTATTGTAAAGTAGGATAAATAATGACCTTTCCATGAATTTGTATTTGAGTGTCCCAAACGAATCCCAAATTTTTCCCAAATGAACATCATAAGTTCATAATCAGTTAATTTTTAGAGAGCCCACGGAATTTTGATTTTGCAACATTCAGGGGGTTCAAGAGATTAATTAGGAGGTCTCGGACACCACAGGATCCTTTGTATATACTAAAGCTACCAACTTGGCTGTTGGTAGCTTTAGTACATCATCACTGTCCAAAGAAGAACATATCTCGTTTTTTGTCAATTTTTCTTCTTCTACAACATTCATTCATACATACATTTGAAGTTGGCTGTTGTCCTTTACATTGTGTGAAAATTTTATGATGAATGGACCAATAAAATGCTCAAAAATCACTTGGAATAAACTTTATATTTACTTTATATTTACTTACATTAAAAGTTAAGAATGTCTTTGCTTCTCCTGTAAAGTGACCATTTTGGAGATGCATGTTTTTCTCTGGACAGTGATGAAATGTAAAGTATAACTATAGACTGCTATGTTTTTGTATACATTCCATTTTAGGGTAAGGTTTAAGGTAAGATCTGGGACAGGGCCTGGAAACACTGAAGAGACCTGCGATACACATAAAAGAAAGCACATCATGGCATTTTCTCAGCATGTCAGCATATTATCATACGCATCATTATACACCCTTTATCACTCAAATATTTGGAACCACTGTTCACAAATCGGGAATCAGTTCTTTTAATAATAAAATCATTTTGAAATTGGTTGCAGATAACTGTTAATATTGTATCTGTAAAAGGAATTAAGGAATTTGATGTGTCATGAATGGTAAATGGAGCAGTAGATGATTCTAAATGACTGAGAAAGTTGTATAGCATGAATGAAGATATAAACAAATGATGTCTCTTCCAAAAGCAGACAAAAATATTCTAAATAGATCATTACAGTACTGTACAACACGTAACAACTTCTGATCATTCCCAGAGTTGCTGAATAAAAACTATTTAACACTATTACAGCTTCAGACACCACAGCAACATTCACAGCCCTATGAGGGTCCCTAGTGGCTTTTAAAAGCAAAACTGCCCACTCCACAAACTGAAACACCTTCCTTATTACAGTCATTACAGCTCACACCAACTGCTGCATGCATGCCAGCACTACATTCACCCTGAGAGTCTGAAAATGCAATAAAAAAAGTAATGTCTGCCAACAGGAGGCAGTAGCAGCCCAAGCCTGCCATCATCTCACTGTAGCCCACATTTAATGGATGATTTTTTAAGACCCCCGCTCTAAATTTCTATTCACTTCAGCCTGCTTTGTTTTTTTTTGTTGTTTTTTTTTAATCTTATATTACAAAGATTGGGAACATAAAATAAGAAACATTTTAGAGTCATGTGAAAATGAGAAGTGTTCTACTTTAAACATCGCAAACTTGATTTCAACCGGGGAAGTAAAAAGGATAAAAAGGATTTAATAAATGACAAGGTACTGTATGTCGAGCTGACTCGATTTATTTCTTTCTCGTTCTCTTTTTTCTTTCTCTTTCTTTCTGTGCCCTCTTTCTTTCTTCCTCTCTCTGTTTCTCTCTTCCTCTCTCCCCCCACAGTTCACATTATTCTATTGTAAGGGTCTCCTGTGTTCTAATTCGTATGTGTTTAAAGAGCTATTTTGGTGTAAATGAACCCGTCCAGCTGTAATGATGCTCCACGCTCCATTTTTTTAACACTCTGTACTGTATTTACTGTAAATGGATCTGTAGATGAAGCTGACTGCAGGGCGGGTCAGGTACACATGAGCAAACCAACAGACTACAAGCAGCTCCCATAACTAATAATGGCTTATTATAAATGCAAATCAAATGTTGCAAATTAAATTAGAATGAATTATAATCGGTTTTATTACAAATGAAGGCCTTTATTATTGTAAGCATTGGTCTAATCAAGTGTTTGCCATGTAAAGCTATAAAACCAAACTTTTCTTTTTAGCTATATGGCTTTGAAGGATAAGAAACATTTAGAAGATTGAATCACATTTTTCTTCCAAGTAATTAAACTCAGCACCTCTCACTTAAATGTATATTTGTTCAATTTTTTTTCAGGGACACGTGTTCTGGTTCTTTCTAGAAAAAACATACTAAAAATCTCCTAAAAATACATTTAGAATGCATTTTTCCTGTTCGTAGTAAAAATGTTTCATGATTCGGTATTTGCCACCATATCTATTCACTCAGTTCAAGAAACAAAGACAAACAAAGAGAGAGGAGAAAAGAAAGAGAGTAAAAAACGGGGTGGAGAGAGGAAGACGGGGTCGATGTGCTCTCTTCCTTACAGTTCTCATCTTCTTCTTCTAGCGAGCTGTGGAAAATCTGAAAAACTGAACAAGAATAAAGAAAATGTTTGGATTCTCCACCGGACTTCTGCTCCTTTTATTCCTGTCTAATGGTAAGCTCACCGTTTTCTTACTCCAGGTATATATTTCAACCAGAGCTATAAGGGGCTTCTAAATAGAGTTCGTAAGGGATGAGAGAGACTGTAAGAGGGCGGCCACTACATTTTTTGACAGTCGATGGTTTTAAAACAGCTTTTAATTCACATTATTCATCATTATTGATGGCAGAAACAGTTTAGATAGTCGCTTGAGTTAAAATATTCAAATGGTGAAAAAGATTTGTCTTTCATCACATGTGGCTATGTAAGTGTTTCTTAATATAGATTAATATAGATGTCATTGGTTTATGAATATTGATAAGAAGCTGTAAAAAGAATTAAGGTATGTCAGATATATCAAGAATGATAAGCAGAGCTTTAGATGACTGAAAAATGACATAGAAAGCTGTGAAGCAAGAATGAAAAATGAAGAATGCTTGTTTCAAAAGTAGTGACCAAATTTTGAAGCAGGTAACCTGAAAAATGTTCTAAATAGATAATTACAGCATAACTTCTGATCATACCCTCAAAACATGAAACATTAAAAATAACAATGTGTGGTTCAGGTCTCCAACATTAAAATCTGCATGGTATATGTTATTGTATAAAAAATAGAAACTATTAATTATTAAGATGACAAATATATTGTTGGGTCAGGCGCACACCAGCAAACCAACAGACAACAAGCAGCTCCAGTAACTAATAGGGCTTATTATAACTGCAAATCAAATGTTGCAAACCAAATATGAAGGAATTATGATAATTTTGTTTTATATAAAAATATGTATATGGTTTTACTTCATCAGGTGCTTATTCTGAGACAATGAAGGAGGGTGAGGATAAAGACATTCCATGTGACCCAAAGTCATCAGGAACTGTGTGGTGGTTTCGGCTGATAAACAACACACAGTCAGAGTTCATAGCATCTTTCTCCAGTTCTGGGGACAAAAAAGTTGGAGACCTGGGCAGCAAGTTCGACCATCAGAAGATGAAGTCTTCAAAAATTTTAACACTGAAAGGTTTCAAAAAGGAGACGGACAGTGGCTCCTACAGCTGTGCGACCATCAACAACAACAAGCTGCTCTTTGGCAGTGTGACCAGCCTACAAGGAACACCAGGTGAAGAGCTGCACATTTAGCGCACTAACCATTACACAAATAACCCGCACCAATTACAGCACCACACACTCTGTTTTCTTTTCTCTCTTCTTCTTTTTTATCTCTTTTTCTAACTGCCAGCCTCCCACCCACATCTGTAGGTATTGTGTACACTGTAAATAATGTTTGGTTTTTAATTAAAAGTTACTTTGTTATCTTCAAATGTCTCTATTAGTGAACTTCAAATAAGTTAACAGAATGTAAGACAGAGATTATTGTTCTATTTGCTATTTGATGTCATCAAAATGTTACAGCAGATGTGCTGAATGTGGTGTCCTTGATGTCACACAGCTACCAGTGTTTACTGAGAGAGAGCATCAGGCATTCAAGTGGAATTCTCTTTGTGATTTGTGTAATATAAATTATTTTCCAGTGATGCTGTGATGCTGTAACTGAAAAAAAAATCTTTTTTTTAGACCCAAAGCCAGAAACCAAAGTGGTCCCAACAACCAGAGCAACACCTGAGCACTTCACGACTAAAAGCACAGTGTCATGTAAACCTAAAGATCAAGGTTATTATTATTATTATTATTATTATTATTGTTATTATTATTGTAGCAGTGTTTGTAGTAATAATATTGCTATTTGTGGTTTCAATAATAAAACAGAGTAAATTCATTGCTGTAAGGATCACTTGCTGACTTTATATTGTGTTTGCTATAAAAAGCGTCAGTGATACTGAAACTGATGTGCATTGTTGGCAGAGAGAAAGCCGGTCAGAGCGGTCACTCTGGGTTGTGAGCTCGTGATTCTGATTCCTTTGGCAGCAGGCAGTGGTCTTCTTCTCATCCTGCTGATTATCACCATTCTGTACTGTAACCGTAAGTATTTATAGCAGTATCACTGGATTACACAGTGTTTCTATATATAATATAACCCATAGAGTACATGGTGTTTTGATGAAATCTATACCACGCTGGTCTCTTATCATAGTCACCTCACCTTCACGAAAAGATCAATTACGCTGAAGTACAAAAGCACATATCGTCACTGACCAAAGAATAAGTAACTTTACAGAAGAAGGCAAAAACACTCTTATTTTTCAATGTAAGAGAACATTTCTATTGGTCCATTCATGTAAAAGACTGCTGTGTTGAAATGAAAAAGAAAAAATCAAAAATGGAGACACATGGTTTTCTTTGGAAAGCGACAATACGCATAAATAAGTGCAGAGTGGGACTCAACCCAACATGTTTAGTTTTGTTTGCCAAATATTTTTTGAAGTATTTGAACAAGATTCATTCTTTATGGGAGCAAAATCTCCTCCAAATGAAATCAGCTGAAAGTGGCTCTTAATAACTTAAGCAGGGTTAACTGTAACACACTACAGGCTAGTTGTAACAGTCACTAAATATCTGGCAAGTCAATGCAAAACACATTTGATCTGATACAATTCAAGCTTCCCAACATAAACAGGCTACAAAAAATAGATTTATAAAAAATGTGATTTGTGAAAAAAGGCACTAGCAAATGTACAGGAGAGCAGGGCTGAATCTAACACTTTTTGTTTTCTGCTTGCTAAATACTTAAAAGTATTTGAGTAAGAATAATAATTTGCTTACGTAAGCAGCCTACACATCTCAGTAAGAAATGAAGACATGGACTTTATTTCCAGCACCTGCTGTTTATGATTCAGTTCAGTCAAAGTAACAGAAGGCGGGGTCAACTTTAACAGAGGGGCCAGTTTTAAGTCTCTAGAAAAGTCTGATAAATCAATGCAAACACAATTAACTCAAAACAAATCTATGCAGTTTGAACCAGACGAGCTTTCCAACCTAAATATGTATATATATAAAAATGTCTTCATCAAAATAAATATTCATCAAATTAATAACTTGTGAGAAGAGTCTGTGGCAAATGTGTATTTTTTGAAGAGCTGTTTAGTTGAAGAGCAAATATCAGCATAACAAAATTAAAATATATTTTGTGGTATGATTGATGAATCAGTGCATACAAAAGTCCAAAGATCTGACTGATTTTAATGTATACAATAGAAAATTAACTTCTCTGCTTTGTGAGGCTGAGCTGTAACAGCACGTTAAAACTAACCCCATCGTGTGGAGGCTGCGCTTTAGCCTGGGTAGCTCTCACTGCACTATTTACATGCTTCAAAACAGAGCTGTATTACAGCCGCCAAGAAGGGACATAAAAAAATGAGGCTTTTACATATAACGCTTATGAAAAAAGTTACTCTGCAAAAAACAGTCTTCTGTCTGAACGCTGTCAAAATTCACAAATGACATTGCTATGGAAATACATCATGACTAAAAGCATCTTCTGCTTGAACCTGTTTATCTGTATTAAACTGCCATGTTACATTTTACCTTGTGTTACTTTGTGCCCCACTTTCCTTTTAATCTTTTCATGTTGATCAAAAGCTGCATGCTTAAGAGTAATTTTACATACAAAAGGCACTGCGCACTGCACTGTGAACGGAAGTATAGAATTACAACATAAACACAATACCGCAAAAATATATTATTCCAAAAAGCCATAAAAGCTGACTTATTGCAATAAATGCATTTATTAGTTGCTATATTTCAGTGACACCATCATCACTCTTAAAAATACTTTTTTTCTCTGATCTCCACAAGATATAAGAACAAGACGATGCCCACATCATTACAAAAGACAGTAAGTATTTATTTTACAGTTGACAGTATTTTTCTATACATATTATTCTGTATATGGATTTATAATACGATGAATGTCTCTAACTTTAATCTTTCATATCTGCAGCCCCCGAAACAAACCAGCAGGCCACAGGCCCCTGCCTCACCAGCCCGAATTCTAGTCTCCATTTTGACAAACCAACTAATGCCACCTCCTATAGAGAGCGACGTGGTAAACATGGTTAACCTGTATATTTCAAAAATAATCATCACTTTCAAAACAAACTTGACGGCCCTCAAATTTCCCAACAAGCTTTCAGAAATGTTCCTCTCAAACTGAATTTCTGGGTTAAATGAGCTTCATTATTCTACAGCTGTATTAGTTCTTTTTCAGTAACTCTGACTAATTTTACATTTTATCTTTTGAACCAATTTAGACATTTTAGCAAATGTAGTGTTTCATAGGGAGCCTCTATCATGTGTTGATATTTCAAATGAAATTTACAGGATTTTGCAGCATACATATCTCGCACCATACAAAAGCATCATTTTGTTAGTGAGTTCTTTGTCTCAGATATTATATGTGCCACCTGCTGGTAAAAAGTATCACAGTCTTGATACATAGCATGAATAAGTGTCAAAAATCATGCAGTGGATCAAGTTTCTAATCAATTATCAATTATGCTTATAATCTATTTTGATCTATGATCTATATATGTGTATTCTGCTTGTACAGCTGCTGTTGTTTGCTAAATAGATGAACAATGTGTGTCTAAATTCATGAATTAAAAACATTTTCAGTGATTCACAAATCTGGAATGTATTTTTCTTTTTTCTCTCTTTTCTTTTCCTTTTTTTAACTGATAACCCACTTGAAATTATACAGGTTGTACTGGAAAAATTATTTTAAGTGCATTTTTAAGTATTCATAAATCATTTACATTACATGATGTAAAAGTAAAAATGAATAATTAGATTTTGCACAAACACAAGGAGATCTAAATGCATTTTCACAATTTTTCAAATGATTTCAGGAAGCATAATGTCCCTTACACCAACCAAAGTCTATAATTGCATTTTCTTTGTCACTCTTCATTTTCCCCTTGAAAACATCCATAATTCTTCTACGTTATGTGTGGTTGTCTTAGAAAAGAAAAAGAAAAGGACTGCGTGTCCTGCCCCAGGAGAAGAGATGATTATAACAAAGGCGTTTTTTTAAATGAAATGAAATGAAAATGAATCACCGTAATCAGCACACATCTTCATTTAGTTTTGTTATTTCTCTGCTTCTCCATGATTCAGTTCTCTTGAAAAAGATGTTAACTGATATAATTTGTCAGACTGAGAGCTGCTTTTTTGGGGGACTGCACATCTGTTTGATTGCAGCACAGCAGATGAAAAGTTGGAGCGCAGAGGAAACACCTTGCAGGCCTTTGCAAAAGAAGAACCGCATTTACAGAACTTTGCAAAAGTCAGAGACCACCCTTTCATTTATTTATCTTATTTTTCAGGGAAGACATTTGAAGTTATTCTTTTTACAGTGTCAGGAAAAAAAAACAGGAAAAAAAACAGAAAAATACACAGAACATCCCTAACAGCTAAATGTAATATCTAATGTTTCATATTTATTTGCCTTTATTACAGCTCCATTTTCCATAATCTTTTCCAGGAGACTTGCTTTCAGTTTTTAAAAGTAATCTGCAGGGATATTTCAGAGTTCTACTGCAAATGTTCTTTCCTTCTTCTTGACAGCTAGACATCCTTTCAGACCCACAGTGTTGAGTTGTCTCCTCACAGTGGAAAGGTGGACATAAACACCTAAGGAGGTCTTGCATGGTGGTGTGACTCATTTTCATATTTATTTTTCTTTGGCTTTTCTTAGTTATGCAAGTAGATTATTTTAGATCTAATCTCCTCAGGAATGTCTCATTTAGCCAGTTTAGATATACACAAGAAAAGAACTTTGAAAGGAACCTAAGGTGTGTTTGCATAGCTGTTTGTGTGAAGGTCTCTTTGAAGGGGAACAGAATGTCAGTAACTCTACTGGAAGCAGCTTTTGTTGGGAGGACTCAGCTGTAACTGGTTGGTCTTAAGACTGGTAGGATGGAAGAGTTAAAGTGGCAGTAGAACACAGAAGTAAATAAACTAAATTACACATAGATAGATTTGATATACTGTTAGACAGTGCTGGAGGATTTAGTATAATATTCTGTGTATTAATGACTGTTCTGACTGGAAATTGAAAAAACGAAAGGGTGGTCTTTTGCACACATTTAGGTTCACAGCTCAGGCACTGACCACAAACAATACACAGTCTTCATTTTAGCCCTTAGTGAAAATGATCCCTTCTCAACTCTGTCTGCATTCAGTCTTAATAGACACAAACAAATGAAAAGACACAGAAACAATATCAAACATGTCCATTGACTTTTTTTATTTAATCAGAAGAAAATCCCTCCTCCATAACGCTGTCCCTGGTTTAGAATAAGAGCATTGCACTTCAAAAGAAAGGCACGATATTGTATAGACGATATCACCACGAGAGGAAGACTAAGTCTATCTTGATCACTTTGGCAAAACAAGACCTACAGCAGGGGATGAAACGACATGGCGTGTTTTTGGAAGACTTCTGGGACTGAAGGTGCATTTCATGTTTAGAAAATACAACATGCAGTAACGGTCTGGCTGTTCTTGCTGTAGTGCAGATGTTTAAATGAGTGTCGGTTCAAATGAAAATGAAACAAAGACTCATAATTGGTATGCCACATCCTACTCAAGCTGAGAACATTGCGAGCGTGGTGTTGCTACAGGCCAAGGTCAGGTGGTATTACAAGATTCATACTTTCAAACCACATGACAGCTTTACTAGTGCTAAAAGGAAGTTCATTTGATTGTAAGGCTTGCCAGTAATCTCTTTTACTCCTCCTGCTTTTTTCAGTGCTAAGATATAAGAGCCATTCTGCAAGCAACAGTGAGAGGCACTATAGCTTGCAAGCGCACTTCAGAAAACCAAGACAGACCCTTTGAAACAAGAAAGACCTTCTGCATAACCACATTCAGACATCATAGTGACTATCAACAGCATTCATAAGCATCATAATCCGAAAGACCATTTACTCAAACTCCTAGAACACAGTTCTCTACTGTAAACTAAAACAGAAGTGCTGTACACTAGTGTCTCCAGGTGCATGGCTTTTCAAACAGCTATATAAAACTTTTTTTGTGCACAACAAGTCTGCAGAGATACCCCCGATACAAAATGAATTCATGCAGTATACTATACTAGGCAGGAAACACCTTAGACAGGCCTCTAGTCCATCACAGCGCAGACACACAGAGGCAATTTTAGCATCTCCAATTCGCCTGACAGATATCTGTCAGGTATATATAGTCGTATGAAAATGTTTGAACATCCTCTGTCAAATTAGATGTTTGTTGATATGGTAAGTGATAAAAAGTTAACACATCCTTAACAAGGAACAAACTTAAATGGTAGTTTTCTTAAAAGTTTAGTGCACGATTTATATTTATTTGTTGAGTTTAATGCAATGGAAAAAATAAACATAAAATATAAAAAGTGCAACTTTTTACACAGGCGCTTTTATATTTTATACCAATATGTTAAATTTAGCAAATAAACAGTAACTGGGCATAAAATGTGCAGAAGCACATTCTCTGAATGTGTGTGTGTGTCAACACAACCATATTTTCTGTTTATTTAAATAATGACAGGAATAGATTAATCTATCATTATAGTAATGTGGCTGTGGCTGTGATCGAATTTACATTTAAAATCCTAGATGATAAAGATACGATATTGTTTAATTTTCTCCTTTGGTACTGATAGGAGACCAACTCTTTGCTAGACACTGTGTTGCATCATTAGTCTTTTTCTCATAAGAGTACTTGTGGAATGTTTCAGAAAAAAGCCTGTTTTAACTGTAAGTTAGTGCCGTCTTTTGGTTTTGTCTTGGGGAAGTCTGGGAGCAGCGTGTTCGTCCAGCACTGGTCTTGATGCCTGCAAAACAAACATTAAATGTGACAGACAGTTGCTTGTCTTCATATGTTTATGTTCTTGGATTATATGGAGATCCTTGCTGGTGTTGAGTACCGCTGGTGCAGAGTGAGTGGGTGGGTGGGGTCTTTCCTGGATGTGAAGGAGGTCCACAGCAGCAGCAGGTGCTGCTACTGGAGGACCAGAGAAGTCACTGAATAGCACAACAAGCACTGCTGACTCATACATAGATGTCTATGAGTAATACAGAAAGAAAGTCATTTCAGACAAGCTAAAAGAAGCTAGTCTTTATTTGCACTTGACAATTTCATGGCCCCTTTAGCACAATTATATAAATGCTACATTTATAAAGGCCTATTCCAACAAGCGTCAGTTGTCATAACATTTTCTGGGGTGAAATGGACTAAAGCAGTCTACCTGACACTTGTTTGAATAATGTAGGTTAATGTCACTCATTATATACAGTGGTGTGAAAAAGTGTTTGCCCCCTTCCTGATTTCTTATTCTTTTGCATGTTTGTCACACTTAAATGTTTCATATCACCAAACAAATTTAAATATTAGACAAACATAACACAAGTAAACAACAAAATACAGTTTATAAATGAAAGTCTTTATTATTAAGGGAAAAAGAATCCAAACCTACAAGGCCCTGTGTGAAAAAGTGATTGCCCCCCATTAAAACATAAATTAACTGTGGTTTATCACATCTTTGGAAAGCTGAGCTCAATTTCCCTAGCCACACCCAGGCCTGATTACTGCCACACCTGTTCTCAATCAAGAAATCACTTAAGTAGGACCTGTCTGACAAAGTGAAGTAGACCAAAAGATCCTCAAAAGCTAGACATCATGCTGCGATCCAAAGAAATTCAGGAACAAATGAGAAACAAAGTAATTGAGATTTATCAGTCTGGAAAAGGTTATAAAGCCATTTCTAAAGCTTTGAGACTCCAGCGAACCACAGTGAGAGCCATTACCCACAAATGGCGAAAACATGGAACAGTGGTGAACCTTCCCAGGAGTGGCCGGCCGACAAAAATTACCCCAAGAGTGCAGTGACGATTCATCCAAGAGGTCACAAAAGACCCCACAACAACATCCAAAGAACTGCAGAGTTCCAAGACAAAAACCACTGCTGAGCAAAAAGAACATAAAGGCTCGTCTTAGTTTTGCCAGAAAACGTCTTGATGATCCGCAAGACTTTTGGGAGAATACTCTGTGGACAAAAGTTGAACTTTTTGGAAGGTGTATGTCCCATTACATCTGGCGTAGACATAACACAGCATTTCAGAAAAGGAACATCATACCAACAATAAAATATGGTGGTGGTAGTGTGATGGTCTGTTTTGCTGCTTCAGGACCTGGAAGACTTGCTGTGGTAAATGGAACCATGAATTCTGCTGTCTA